ACAACCAAATAACAATAATGAAAAAATCCATAACACAACAACTATCAATTACATACATATATATAAAAATATGAGGATTCTATATTTCTATTAGCTGATGTATACACCATGTGTATATTTTGTTAAGATATATTGAAATGTTCAATTTCATGGCATGATAACGATCAGTCTTAAAATCGAAAATCTTATTGAAATGCCATACTTTTCTGTTAAAAAAAAAAGTTCCCATAAAAAATAGTTATATCATTGAAAATTCATTGTGTAATTGAACAAATTTCTATAATGAAGCCGATTTTCTGTACAAAAATAAAGCAACAACTTTCACATTTTAAGGAAATCAATTAATGTTGGTCCGTTTTTGCTAAGAAAATAATAAATAAATAAATTATAATTAATGGAAAGTAATTAATGATGAGAGAATTTGACCATATCTATTTTTAAAAATCGTAACAGAAAAACAAATATTAAATAAAAATTGTATAATACGGAAATAGTAATGACAATAAATGTTGTTGACTTTTCTAGCTACTAAATTTGGTAAATAGAACTCCCTTTAATATAAGTATAGATACGTCATGATATATTGGTTTATTATTGAATTTAATTTATAAATGGTGTAGTAAGATTATTAGGTTGTATGAGCAGCAGTTCAAGCGCAAGCTGGTATAACTTTAATAAAACCTCATTTATTTTCTCTTTATATTTACTTTATTATTATTTTTTAATTAAATCCTTAAACAACTCACTAATCAACGAATATTTAATATCTCTCTCTCTATATATGTATAATTGCTAACAAAAAATTTAATAAAATTATTTAGATTTTCCACCTTTTTTCGTTACAATTCATTTTTTTTTAAACAAGTAACTGAAACTTAATCAATTATTTTTTTAACATAATAATTAATTAAAGTGTAATCTTACTTTTAATTCTTATATTATGTAATAGTTATTACTAAAACTAACCAATTATACTAAATGATATATGAAGGTTGAATAATAAGTATAAAAAGTTATATTATTTTTTTTTCTTAAACTATTTATTGCTCTTAAATATTTCTTTAATAAGCTAACTGTCTTTAGCGGTAAACCAAACCTATTAAACTTTTAATAATAATAATACTTTTTAAAATTATTAACCAGTCATGATCTTTGAAACTTTAAAAGCTACCTTATCCATTTCATTTTATGTAATCAATATAGTAATGAAGTTGAATACTTTTATAATGTTTATTTTTATTAATGATTTTTTTTTAAATGTGATACTATTATTTAATTTTTAATTTTTAAATATCTGTTCATGTGCACAAGATCGAATACTAATTTTGATAATTATTGACCAATAATTAAATGTATTGATTTACATTACAGTAGGTCTCGTACAATTAATGCAACATTACATTCCAAACTACCAAAAAATATAAAGTTAGAAAATTTTGATTTTATTAATAATTACATCTCCAAATTTTGGGAAGTTCAACTATAATTATTGTCTGAATTATTGCCAAAAATTTTATTTTAGCTTAAAATTAACTTTCAAAATTTCCATAAACATATTAACCATTTTATATATGAGTGAAGTCAACATTATCGCGAATTCTCTTAAAGGTGGTAAGGGTCGGCCCGGCCCAGAACCAGCTCGAAATCGGCCCGGATCCACGGGTCTTGGTATCGGACCTGTGATAAAATTGGGCCGGTTTCGGGTTTTACTTTTGTTTTTTTGACCCGTCGATTTTGGGCCAGTTCCGGGTCCACTACAAGAATGTGATGAAATTCCAATGAAAAATTCTAACGGAAATATATTCAAATAGAAATTCAACGGAAATTTCAATGGATATTTCAATGATATTATTTCTGTTAAAGTTTTTCAATAGATTCCAACAGAAACTCCAACAAAAATATTATGTTGGAATGAGTTTTTCATTGGAATTTTCGTTGGATTTTGACGATTCCAATGGTTGAAATATGAGTGAAAATAAAAAATTCCAACGGAAATTATATATTCCAAACGCTAAAATACCGTTAGAATAATAACCATTGGAATGATAAAATTCCATATAAATTTCAATGGAAAACTCATTCTAACGGGATAATTCCGTTGGAATTGTCGTTGGAGCCATTGCAACGGAAACTATACTATTGGAATAACCGTTGAAAGTTTTATTGAAATATATTACTGTAGGATTTTCCGTTGGAATATGATATTTTTTTTATAGTGGTTGGAAGATGGGTCGGAGTTGTCTTTTATTTATTTTATTTTTTTTTAATTAAAAAACCTGCGGTTCAGTGAACCGCCAGGTCGAACCAGTTCCTGGTCCAGCTTTTGAGTCGCCGGGCCGGACCGGGTTATAAACCGGCCCGACTGGTACATTTAGGGTGTGTTTGTTAAATAATATACTCAAACCAAATTAATTCTACTCAAAATTTAACTCAACTTTAATTCAACATCATTATCATCAGTATTATCAATATAATTAAATAATAACAATCATTCATTAAATAATAACAACCAATCATTTTTACACATCATATCAACTTTAATTCACTATTTATCCACTCACATAATTTTAACTAACTATCAAATCATATCATCTCTCTCTTACTTTTACACTAACTAATTTTATTTATTTATTTTTTAATATTATTTTAATATAAACTCAAAATCCCACTAACAACTAACTACACTACTTTTTTCTAAATTAATTCTATTTAACTCAAAAAAATTTACTTTTAAATTAATTCACTCAAATTATTCCTTTAACAAATACACCTTTAGTGAAGTCTTTTACCACTTCATTTGAAGGAAGTAATATCAAAAGGTGAAATTAATTATCACGGCAAATACTATTTACATAATCCATATGTATGCACCTTTGGACACAACCTATTTTGGTTGTGAATGGAGATGAACATTATTTGGATTGAGAAAAAAAAAAAAAAAAAATTCATATTCATGCACGTTAATTAATTAGTAAATTTGCTCAACGGGCGTACAAAATTGACCTTTTTATTCAGTAAATCAGTGTGAACAACTTTGAGAAGCCATTTGCACTTTCATTTTTTTATCTTTGATGATGGAATACACACAAGAAACAGTAAGAAAAGAAAAAAGAAAATATTATATAGAAAAACAATCCATCGTCAACCATGAACGACGTTACTAGTTTAACTAACTATTTAACTATTCATTTGCGTGCATATCTCTGAAGTGTTTCTATTATTTTAATAAATATTTGTGGGGGCAGAAAAACATATATGACATATGATTTCGTATTCCACAGAAATGTTTTATCATTTCCTAACAAACTATAACGTTGACCTAAGAAAATGTAATCGGATATCGGAAAAATCACTTGACCGTACTGGGGTTAACATTATAAACTTGGAGCAAGTACATCGTCAACGTTACAAATTTATTAAAGAAAAAAGAAAAGTTTAAGGGTAATCGATTTTGAGATGACTGCAGACGGATCCAGAAATTAAGAGTAGATTGGACTAGAATTTTAAAAACTCATTTTCATAAACATTACATAATATTTTTCTTCAAATATTCATTGAAATTGTGCTCGACGAGCTTCTACAAAAAAAAAAAAAAATTATCATTATGCTCATTTTGTACCGTATTTGATCGTATTTGATGTGTTTTCACTAGTTTGACGTCGATCCCGTTTTCTAATGAATGATGATATCAATGAAATTTTTCCTTCCTTGGTCGAAAGTTGGTGCTCCATGTGAATTTATAAAAATTCCAGAATACAAATAAATAGATTTTTCATATGACATAGTTATTGGTAAAATGAAATGCCTACACATCCTAAATTTATATCCAACTATGATATACAACCACAATGAAGATATGATATTATAAATAAAACACACACACACACCAAATTACTACTTTATACACAATCAACAAAACAAGAATTACAACTAAATGATTCTAGCAATTACTATTAAAATCTTCAATAGCTCAACTAAAATGAGAAGATAGATACAAACAATGAGACAAATGAAATAAATATCTAATAGAGATTTAAAAATATAACTTACTATTAAAGAGGAAATTATCTCGTCTTCATGAAAGTAGCTTCTTTCTTGTTGAATAATTTTATTTATTTATTATTATTATTATTATTATTTTTTTGTTCTTCTAAATTCATTATTCTAGTGTTCAAAGGAGGGGCATGGTCATGGCTAATTTATTTGATTGGAATTTACTGTATAGTGGTGTTTTGCGGGTTAGTATATAGTAGAAAGGATGAATCAACAATACATAATATTTTATTAGAGTAGTAGTAGTAGTCTTTGAGCTTAATAGATAAGTGAATTACTTTGTTAGATTACTAGGTTGATTTATTGGGTTGGGCCGGGAATCGTCATGTGGCTTTACCCGGAGCAATTCAATTTCAAGCATTTTCATAAATTGAAATGGCGGTTCAAGTTCCGAATAAGAACGGGTGGTTCGAAGAATTTAAATATTTAATTTTTATTTTTGTTTAATTATTCTTATTATTTTTATTTTTTTTAATATACCGGTTTGGCCCAAAACCGGTGGGCCTCTTCTAAACCGTGAATCGCCGATTCAAGTTCACAAAAAATGTGAACTGGAACCAATTTTTAGCCACCTCTAACTCGTTCTATGGAAATCATGATTTCTCCTCCCCAATTTCACAAAAATGTTTTGCAAAATGCATATAGAGTGGTCTAGTAAAATAATGTGAGTGTTTTAATTAAACATACATTTTTTATTCAATTTCAATTTAAACAAGATTTTTCTAATTGTATAATATATATAAAAAATTGTATAGATTTAACACTTTAATTTTTTATAAAGTGAATATTTGGAACCATTTATAATGAATGAGAAATTAGTTCTAAGTTAAATATATAGGAAAAAAAAAAAAAGAGTTTTTGAAGCTCAAACTTGATTTTACATATCTCAAAAGGTTGCTTAAAATTAGAAATGCAAAATTATGTTTGAACGAGCACTGCGAGTGCATATGAGCATCGAGCTTGTCACGGATAGCAACGACTGTTGCGGCCAATATTGTCGCATGGGTCTGTTGCCCAGCGACGTATGCATACGACTGTTGCGGCCAATATTGTCGCATGGGTCTGTTGCCCAGCGACGTATGCATGTCTATCTAGTGGGAAAAGCAGTCGCATGCGCGATTCACTTGCTGGTGTCCAAATGTTGTCTACTCGGATTTGGTTGCATATTTCTACCGAGTGTTCGCTTAAATATTTAGCTAACTCATTAGTGTATGAGAAAGTTATTGATGGTGCCGAGAAATGTCGTATTCTACAAGATTTTTAGTTCCCTTATAAATCGTACAAATAATTAAATTAACTCCTTGATCTCAAGGAAACTGCATGAAAACGTTAATATGCAGCTGTTCGAGATTCGTCACACGATTCATATGACATAATGTCTAACACCACATGACTCGTGTCAAACTGAAGCTCAAATTTGTTGTACTACCATTAGACGTCACACAACTTATGTGACCTAAGTCATACATCACACGAATCAAGACGCCACACCACTCACCTTCAGGCAAGATCACACACCTCATAGTCGGGTGATGCCTAGGCCGCACGACCTGTCATTCATGAGCGGTTAGGTTCCAGTCACCAGACAGTGGAGACATCGGCGTGGGCTGCTCCATCTTGAAAAATGCGAAGTAGATGATTGTTTGAAAAGAAAAGATTGTGTTAAAAATGAAAATATAAAATAGAAAAGGCGAAATTGGTATACTATCTGTACCGTATTTGGCTATGTTTGGTAAAACTAGCTGATAAGCTAGCTGATAGCTAATAAGCTAGCTTATAGCTTATTTGTAATTTTTTAGCTTATAGTTTATAGCTTATGACTTATAGCTGAAAAACTAGCTTATATGATAAAAGTGTTTGTTAAATTAGCTGATAAGTTAGCTGAAATAAAAAAATTCAACTAGCTTATTTGAAAAGCTACCCAAAGTAGCTTATGAGATAAGCTCGAACTTTTTAACAAAGCTCGTCCTACCAAACGAGGCTTATTTGTATACATGGAGCTTATAAGCTAAGCAAATAAGCTATAAGCTAGCTTATATAATTGACTTTGACTAAATAATTCTCCCTGTTCAAATTCAAATTAAAATTCAAATTAAGATTTAGTTTTAGAAATGAGATG